TGTTGCTACTGCTGCGGGTCCGGCGACTACAACTCAGGTTCATCAATCTCTTCCTACACAGCCGGCCTCAACTCGTCCAAAGCTTCTACATTCTGGGACACTACAGCCCAACGCCCTGCCGACGGTGTGACAGACGGGTCTATATTCAACCTCGACTTCATACGGAAGTTCCGGTGTCAACGTTGTCTCTGCCACGACCACAGTACTGGCTCTTGCAAACAATCTAAGATGGCCTTCGATTCTCTCCGTTGTGCTCGATGCGGGACTCATCATGATCCCGTACGGTTCCCAGAAGCTCACTGCCGAGACAGCAATTGCTACCGCTGTGGGAAGCGAGGTCATATGAGTCGTGCTTGTCCCGAACCACTACCTCAGAAACCCGATACCACCCCTTCAAGTTCTACTGGTACCGAAGGGGCCAAGATTCAGGCTAATGTAGTCCAGATCACTGACTCCGATGGGTCTGGATTACCCATGATAAAATTAGCCATCTCATCACCTGACTACGACTCGCCCAAGCCCGAAGGTCGTGTAGCTACTAACGCTCTACTGGATTCTGGTGCTGAACAACCGCTATGTGCCGAAGATGAGTATAATCGATGGTGTGATGCTGGTCTCGTCCTCCCACTAGTCCCTGATCCACGGACCATCATCTTCGGTAACCCCTCACACCAATCATCGACTCTCGGTAGAGCTAGTGTGATCCTACATCTCGACGACCGAACTTCTATCGTGGCCGATATACTAGTGGTCAGGTCGCTCAACTACCCCTTCATCGTGCCAACTAGTCTATTACGACGTACAGGTGGTGCGGTATGGATGATCTACCCTAATGCTGCTCAACAAGATAGAATCATAGTTGGTCAGGAATGTCAACAGCTACTGGCTACTCCTCTTGACCCCAGGTCTGATATGGAGGCAACTGCCCCTTCTCCTTATGTGAAATGCCATCAAGTGACTGCGAAGAACATCAACGATATGAGCCTCAACGATGTGTCTATCA